CTTCCAAAGTGTTTCCTTCCATCTTGATTCCTATGTTGCCCTTGCCCCCAGGTTGAGTCAGGTGAGCACTTCCCGCTGCCAGGGAGGAGCTGGGACTGTGCAGCTGTGGCTGGGGTCCTCTCTGGCAGCCTCTGTGTGCTAACCTGTCTCTTCTACCCTTTCTAATTCCAGCTCTGGTTTGGCATGTCAGGGAAATTAAGCCACAAGCACCGGAGGTTTATGTCCAAAAAGGAGACAGAGAGTCCTTTTACTTTATTCAAATAAAGGGAGAGGCCACCGGGCATTCCCCTGGGGTGTCTCAAATTTTTGGAGGATGCAGCCTCCTTTTCATCCTTACTTCCCTGCCACATTCCCCTCTCTCTTTCCCCATTGGCTGAGGCACTTGAGATGTACAGACTTCCTGGAACGCCTGGTACCTGAGATTTCCCTCTAATGTATAACTGTCCCTTTTAATTTTTAATTCTTATAGAATTCATGGTTTTTCCCCATTGTTTCATCTGTGAGCAAACCTACCCTTAGTTTGTAAAGGCAAATATCTTTTTTTTTTATTCATCAATCAGTGGAATCTTTCCCATTGTTTCTTTTATCTCTCAGGGCTAGTCTTACCTACCAGCAGACTCACAGCTTGTTTGTAAAGACAAATCCATCATTCCTCTCAGGTATTTCATTTTAACTTGCACCTAACACACTGCAGCCATCTGTATCCCTTCTCCACAAGCCATCCTTCAAGGAACTATCATGCTACGCCTCTCCTATGCTGCCTGACTTTTTACATGAGACAAAACATAGTAAGACAGGGACAGAGCCAGATAATTTCTGCTTTTGCCTGCCTGCAGCAGCCCTTCCTAGGCTATGCTGGAGATCATTGCAGGTGAGACAGGAGCATAAAACTTCTGGTGCCAGCCACCAGCAGAAAGAGCCTGAGATGGATGGGTGCTCTAAGGAGTTTGGTGGATGTATCTTCCCCATTTGAGAAGCTTGCTCTCAGGAGAAGGAGCTTCCTCCTGTCTTAAAGAAGGAGTCGAGGAGTCACAAATTCAGATGTGTATTTCTAGTTCTGCTCATCACTCTGTGTGGTATTGAATATTGGTTTAATCTCTTCTGATAGCTGCTAAATACTCAGATAAGAATGATGTTATTATTCTTTATCTAAAGGACTTAGATTTCTGCAGATAACTCCTGTTAGCACCAGTGTAGTTGTATAGCGTTCAAAATTTAAGCAAGATTTCTTCTTATAAATTAAACCACTTCAGGAAAGGAGTGAATATTTTACAAATAGCCCTTATTTAATAGGCTATTTGCCCTGTTTCACAGATGCATTGTTATGAAAAGTAGGCAGGCAGGAGAGATCATTAAATCAAAGGAAGGGTCTAGGATGGCTTCTCTTGGAGTCCTGTGAGTCTGTCCATAAATGACCGTGAAAAGTAGCAGTTGTTTGCTATAAATCTCTGGTCACATCTGCAGCTTGTCACAGGAAAACATGTTTGTGTGTCCTTTCAGCACAAAAGAGGAAAACCTGTCTTTCTTTGCCTTGCCAGGCTTGGGGAATGAAAATGAGTGAGTTCTGCTGGCTGCAGCTCGTAGCAGTCAGGGCCATTCAGCGACCTGCAGGAAAGCAGGAGGTGTCTGGGGCTTGCACTCTTACTTCTCTAAACTTTTGTTGAAATATTTGTCAAATATTTAAGAATTCTGTTCTTCTGACATCCAGCTTATTTCTCACTATTGCACCTACAAGGCCGATTTGGTACAAAATTTATTTTAACTTTGTGATCACCATGGCTTGATGGTATTTGGAATTAGAAAAGGTGATGTAGGGATTTAATGCTGAGTCCTCCCAATCTCTCTCAATATCCTATTTTGTTTGGGAGCCTCATTAAAATGTCTTCAAACCATCACTTTCTAATCCCTGTTTTATTTTGTTCCAAGTTTCCTTTGACCTTTCAAAGCATTGTAATCTGAGCTTAGTTTTCACACCCATTTCTTTACTTCCGTAACTTTAGTAATTGCTCTGCCTGATTTGTGGACTTTGTACAGTTACAAGAGCAGTGTGTATGTCTCTTATCTACAGCAAATAACAAGCAAGGCACTGAACAATCCTTCTGGAGCCACATGGGGACAGATAGCTGAGGCGTGGATGAGTTGAACCTCTCCCTATGGCTTGCAGAAAAGTTGAGAGGAAATCTTAAAGGTTTGGCGAAAAGTTGTCTTCTAACTGACTTTCTGTTTAAAGGAGAAGGAAAAGGGAAGGCTCAAGCAGAAAAACACCACAGTTAAACTGCTCTGATTGCTTTCTTCACTGACAGCAGCAGCTCATTTGCCCGGAGTGAGAATATGAATACAGGCAGGAAACCTGGTTCTTCCTGCTCTCCTGGGAGGAGCTGGCCTGCTCATGGGCACTTGGCTGTTCATGACTGGGAAAGCTTCACCAGCAAGGAAGGTGCCTTCTGGCCCTACATAAGCCTAGAAGAAGTGAGGGGCATTTGTGGAAGGAAGCTGAAGAAACTCTAGCAGAACATGAAGTCTTCTGAGGCCAAGGCTCTGTAAAACATTCCAGTATAAATGTTGATTTGTTGGACCCAACTGTCTCATCCAAAACACTTCTTTTTGAGGAGAGGTGAGGCAGCCTTTCTATCCTGCTCTCCCTGGGCTCCTGGCCAGGAGCAGCAGTCTCTGGGGCAGACCCACAGTACAGGATACACTTTTTAGGCTGGAGCTTGGTGTGAGTTGCCAGAAGAGGCAGCCACATCAGACTCTGTGATCACACTGAGACAGCGACATGATGGCACCCAGGGAGCCTCAGAAGTGAACGTGAGCATTCCTCTGGGCATCCCCTTCTAACACAGTCTCTTGGCATGAAGGGCTGGGGAAATCCTAGCATTATTCTGTTTGCTTCCCTTCTGTCTGATGCTCCCTGTCACAGGAGCAGTGTACTTGTTGACTTGCTGAATCAGTCAGGTAAACTCTGTGAAGGGAAGAGTCTGTGTTCTCTATGTGTGTATGCAGTTAATGTGTGCCAGATGCTGTGAGACAGTAACATTTCTAAGCTTTTCTGCTCATTTTCACAATGCCTGTTTACAGTCAGTAACAGAATACAATGTAATGCAGTCCTTGCAGGAGTTACAGTGCTCAGCACGCAACCTGAGATCTCCCAAACCCATCAGATAATTAACTAAGCTTTCAGCAGGATGCTTATTGAAGCAGAAATGAGTAAAGTAATTACCAGTGTGTGGTTCAGCTTGAAAATCAATACAGACTGTATTGAGCCAGAGAAAGAGCCAGAAGAGAGGCTGCTAATACTGTATCTGCATCAGCAAGATACGTAAAAAGTGCGTCCACCTAACACAAATTTACTAGAAAGCATTTTAAAAATCAATAACCAGAGCATTAAGGGCAGTTTTATAGGAAATTTCAAAAGGATCATTTTGGTTGGCACCACAAACTATTGAACACTGAGATGCAATGGCAAAAGGAGCTCAGTTCAGAATCCTCAGGAGTGCTTCTCAGAGCTGCCAGCCCCTTGCAAATGCCCAGATGTGGAAATGCCTCCTAAGGCCAAGAATATTAAAGGAAACAACAAACAGACAGTCACCAGAACCCCCTGTTCTGGGTTATATCAGTGTGCCAAGACACCATCCTTTCATCTTTCTAAATCTGGAATGACTCTACTGAGCACTTAAAAGCCCCTGTGGAAATCTGAGGGCAATGGCTTTGGCTGGACCTGCCCAGCTCTGATGGGGTTGAATCTCTCTCCCAGCTATTTGCTATTGTCCATTTTTGTAAAACTAAATCCCTCCTGCATTCCTAAGGCTTTTACAGGAGCACAGGTAATACTGAAGAAGCTCATGCCATGGGGCTGTGCCAGCTGTAGCAGAGGAGCAGCTGAGCACAGCACACACAGGGCTGTGCACTTGTGCTGCCGTGTGGGCTCTGTGGTTCTCTGGGCTGAAGGAGAGAGCCATGAGATGCCTTCCCTTTGTCATGAGGACGGCAACTGAGTGAGCCTTCAGTCGCTCGTCTAGAACTGGATGAACTTTAAGTTCCCTTCCTACCCAAACCATTCTGTGATTTATTTTTCTGTCAGCCAAAGGTGTGCAGCTGATGTGACAAAGAACTGGTGTTTTTTCACATTGAATCCTAAACAGTTGGTGGAAAATGCAGTTGTACGGGGAAATTAGAGAGTCTGCCCATTAATAGGACACCCTGGGAGTGCCAGGAGCTGGGAGGCAGCAAACACCTCTACTATTAACAGAGATCTGAAATTACAGTTGGAGGTGATTTACATACATGAGTTTTCATTCCCTCTCTTCCATTTTGCAACAAAACTATAATTGAACAGTTTTGAGTACTACAGCCTGCTCAAGGTATTAACTGTGTTGTGACTCAATTATAGATGCAGGACATCACCCTGATGCCAAATGTATAATTGCATCAATATTGCTCACACACTTTTCAGTGGGCACAGGATTGAGTGAGCAAAATTAATCACCTGGTTTGCTTACCCCAGACACCATAGCAACTGAAATGCCATGCTTAAAATTATCATTGGTTTTTCCTTCTATGTTTTTGTTCCATATGGCACACCCTGTCAACTGTCTTAACATCCAATTCCATGGGTGCCAGCTATCAGTGTGACAGGAAATGAAATGTGCACAGGATTTGATGACGGATGCTGAGTTTCATGAGCTGTCTGCTTCATTACTTGGCATGCCCTGAGGCAGCATGTCCATGGCACAAAAAGCAGGGCTTTCTGATTTTCTTCATGGTGAGCTGTGCCCTTGCTCCTGTGGAGGGAAGCTGCACTGCTCTGTGCTGGTAGCACTGTGAAGAAAATGAATACAATAATGCCAGGTTAAGTGAGCTTATTAAAAACAAAACAAAACAAAACAAAACAAAACAAAACAAAACAAAACAAAACAAAACAAAACAAAACAAACAACAACAAAAAAAAGGCTTTTTTTTTTTGATCACACCATGCCTGGAAGAACTTGAAATGTTCCTTCTTTGCAGTCCAGATCTTTCACAATTCTCTCATTGCACCCCCAGCTCTGATACTGAGATCTGGCATTAAAAGCAGCACAGTGCAGCAACAGTGTGCAGGCCAGGAAACCAGGAATTTGTCTCCACATGGATATTGGAAGTGCCAAGTGTGCCCTGGGCTATGCTGGTACAGGACAGTGTAGGTCACCCATCCCAGACAATGCACAGATTGACTGGAAGGCTGCAATAAATGTGAATTCAGTATTTTCATATCATACATGAAAAAAAAGCAGAGGAAGGTTTATTATTCATGAATAACATGGATTGATTCACTGAACCAAAAATGGTTTTCATCTGCAAATAAGATAATTTCATTCACTAGAGTGATTGTGCTACAATTTTACAACAGGATTGAGAGCCTTTTTTATTGATTACTTCAAATCAACTGTGTTGTTGCCTACAAATTGGTACAAAACCACACAATCACATTTATGACTCTTCTACATCAGTACACGTGGAATGTTGATCTGTATCATTGCATATTTGTTTAATCAGGCTAATATTTCATCTGCCTCATTGGAGTGATATGCGATGAGAAAAAACTCAAATTACTGAAACTGTTCAACTCATTCACTTCTGTTCAAAGAGCTAGCTGAGGGATTTAGTCTATTTTAAACCACCCAGAGATTCATTCTCTTTTCTAAACACTAGATTTTGCAGAAAGAAAATAAAACCCCCTTTTTTAGGCAAAACCATCTTTTGGCACCACGGAATTAACTTGCAAGTTTGAACTTTCTGTCCCTGAGGAGAGTTGGTAGAATTGGCTACAGAAATCACTTTGCTTCCATGGGCTTTTTGGATCCTCTGCTTCATTTACCTTTCTAAGGACTCAGCATAGAAGTTCTTGCTTTCTCCAAGTCAGACAAACATCCCAAAATCCAAAGGAAATGGACCTCCCTGGCTGTGCCTCAGTAAGGAGAGAGAATGGAACTGTGATCCGCCTCAGGGAGACAGACTTCAACAGTTCCTCAGATTTGGATTATACAACTTTGCTGCTTTTGCTGGAGGAGTGGTCTCTCACCCCATCAGGCACAAACATGAAGATGTTTTTAATCTCTCCAGTTGTCTGCCTCGTGGCAGGTGTCCTCGTCATCCCTACCATCTTATTCGTGATCTTCTCTCGGTTTAAAATCCGCCAGGAAACAAGGTACATGCTGCTGGGAAACGCTCTGCTTTCTGATCTGATCTACCTGCTGTTCTACACCCTGCTAGCTGCTCTCAATGCAGCATATCTATACCTCCCAAAGGAAGCTTGTGTCCTGCTCTTGTTTTTGCTGGCAGTGGCTTACTGTGGAGGACTGTTCACAGCTGTTGCAATAGTGGTGGACACATACATAGCTGTTTTGTTTCCTTTGCGCTACATTGTTATTTTGCCTCCTTCACGAACTAAAAAAATCATTGTATTACTGTGGATGTGTTCTGGAGCTTTTCCTACGATTTTCTTCCTGGTGCTATGGACTACCCACAGCTTTGCGCCCTGTGCCCTGGAAACGTGCTCAGTTCCAGTAATACTAATATTAGCTCTGAATGGGACTGATGTTGTGAAACTCTGTTTCTGGCTTTCTACCACATTTATCATTCTCTGCCTGTCTGTAATATTTTGTTGCTATGCTATGCTGTATTTTAAAACCAAACACTCGGGTATATGGGAGAGCATCTGCTCCAGAGCCAGTGTAACATTCTTGATGCACAACACTGTGTTATTTTTTTACTTCTTTCCACTCTTGGCCCTTTTTGTAGAATCATTCTTGTGCATTAATGCCATCAGACTGGAGAGAGGAATTTTGGTCTCCTTGACAGTCTGCAATGTCCTCACGATTCTTCCTAAAGTTTTGTTCCCTTTTCTGTATGGGCTTCGATACAGAGAGATCTCAGCCTCTCTCAAATCTATTGTCAGGAGGAAGCAGCTTCACCTGGTGTCACCTGCTCCACCACCGTCCTGAGGCAGCACAGAGCACAGTCACAGCAGAGGAGCTGTCCTCATCTTGTTACCGTGCAAGACTGATGGAAATCACCCAGCTTCTGAAGTGGAGAAGTGATCAACCCATGGTAAGAAGACATGGGTCCTTTACCGTTTCCTTCGTGCCAAAAGGTCACAGACCTTTCATCACAACATAGCTGAGGATATAGTGAATGTTACCCTGGATGAAGTTCCAAGCTTTGTTCTAACATGAAAGGCAGGACCTTCTGGAGGAGATATTGAATTGAGGTCATTTTCCCCCACCTGTTGCAGATGCCTTTCTGGAAAAACAGAAATTAAAAATAGATAGTGCAAAGCAAAGGAGTAACCGCAGGTCTCATGACAGCATCACCTACAGCAGAGGAACTTTAACCAAATGTGCTGTGAAAACAACAACCATTTCTTTCACACAGTATGTTCTTGGAAGCTTGGCAGCCGAAGTCCTGTTCTTGAAAACATGCACTGAGAGGTGCTCTGGAAACTGCTGCACTTGGTGAAACACCATTGCTCAGCTTGTGCAGCGTGCTGGCGTACTCAGCATGCTGCCTTATGGATTCCATCTGACAATCTGCGAAGCACTGATGGTTTGATAAAATCTCCTCCTGATGGGAAGCCCCCTTAGATCAGCGTCTGCTGGGCAGCCCAGCCCATGGCAGTGCCAGGCATCACGGTGCTGCTGGGTGAGGGAGGGGCAGCGGGTGACATTCCCTCCCTGCCACACAGCACTGCTGTGCCCCGGGTGCTGCGGGAGCCCCAGAGCCCCGGTCCCTGCTGGCACCCGCTGAGATGACTCTGCCAAGGGACAGCAGGGCAGGAGCAGAGAGGTGCCAGGCTGGGCACAGGGGTACCCACACCCGCAGGACCCAGGGTGAGGGACTAAGTGTGAACACTGCTGAGTCTCTGCTGAGGCAGCTCCCAGTTCTGCCTCATAAAAATCTTCTCCAGCAGCACGATCTCAGTTTGCAGCTACACCGAGTCAGAGCTGCTGCTGGGTACCTGCCACCAAAGCCTTGGGAAGGTCAGAGGGAGAGGCTGCAGAGCTGATTGGTGTATTGGGGCAAGAAAAATGAGATCCTGTAAGAGCCTTTTAGGTTTTCTGGATCAGCCACCTACCTATAGAAGAAAAGTGAAACATATATCTGTCTTTGCAGAAACAAAAACATCCGTGTGGGAAATTTAAATTGCTGTTCTGCCCCTTGGACTTGAGAAAACTGTTCTATATTTCTAAAGATAATATTTTTAGAATTTGTTACATTTTATGTAAAAATACATTGGACTTTTTAAAAAGGTCCTTGATTTCACTCTGTACAGTATTTTCCTTGTGCAGACTCTCTCCACCTTCTGTTTGCTTAAAGTGATACACAGAAAGTGCTGAATGTGGTTTTTGGCCATTTCACACTCATCTGAAGAATTCCACTAAGTGTGAGCCAGGAGGAGATCGGTGTCTGGTTGCATGAAGTGCTTTTGGCATCGAAGTGAGTTTGAGCAGTTCCTGCTGATCTTCTCTCCTCATTCCCAAACTGCTTGTTACTCTTTCTCACATTGCAGTGTCTGCTCTCTCCTGTTTGCTGATGCAACTGCTTCTGGGGTTGCAGGTTAAAAATATCTCTTCAAAGAGAAGTGGTGTTTGAGATTATCCAAGGGATCTGTTTTGTAGGATGTTCTGAAAACAGCTGCATCAGCACAACTGAAGGTGCAACACATTCCAGTTCAGAGGTGGAGGGAATGAGCAGGGACATCTTGGAGGCTTTGCTGCTAAGGGACACTTCTTGTGCGAGGAGTATCTCTAAGGTAAAATTGTTGCAAGTGAACGAACTGCAATATTGAATATTTGCTTTAACCATGGTTCTGTGCTTCTCAGTCCTTTTCAATAAAAGATTCTAGAAGTTGCTTTTCACTGGCTGCGTTTTTTTTTCTCCAAGATGAATGACCTCTGTCACAGAAGCTATGTTTATATACTTTATAGTCAACCTCTAAGAGGGGTCTTCCATAACACATAGGAAGGATGGGGGAAATGTCTGCATACATCAGGTTCTTTCTGCAGAACCCCTTTGGTACATGGGAAGATCAAGAATGGAAGAGGGACTTGTGAATCCACAGGCTTTCATGTCCTGGGCCAAATTTTTATGCCAGTGCCCAATGACAAGGATGCTGATAACTCACAGGTTGTTTTGTCCATGCAAGGTCCATTCGTGTTTACCTCTATTGGAAATTCTCATGATAAGTAGTAAAGATAACTGTGTAAATAGCATAAAATAAGGTAATTCTGTATGGAGCCATTGGTGACTGTGTAACAGCAGGTTAACTGTACTTGGTCTTCCTGCTGACTTCTGACAATTATGAATGTATAACCTGGCCAGGTTTTTGTTGCCAATTCTGTAACTCTCTCTTACATACACATCTCCTGGATATATTTAGATACAATGAGAAGTTTGGTAACATAGAGAAGGGTGCTGAAAGACAGAGTACATGAATCAGTGATTGTGGCAAGTTTATGTATGTATAAAGCCTGCCCACAGTGACATCACAAGGACCAAGCAAACTAAACAGTGCTCTGTGGAGATGGTCTTCTAAGAAAGATCATTGCAAGCTGATGTTAATTCTCTTTAAAGTGGTTTAACATTAGATAGATACGTTTTCCTTAAGTGACTGCATGTAAACAACTTCTTCCCACGGAATGTTACTGTGCTGTTTGGTAAAAAGCAGCAAGTTATAGAGTGCATACAAGAAACACACCGTGTGCCTGAGACATTTGCCTTTGGGATTTCCCCAGTCTGTCTGAATAGGATCAAAGGGCTCATCACCAGGGAAATGTCACAAGCACTTTTCATAAATGTAGTGAGTTTTGTCTCAAAGAATGTTAGACTTCTGCATTTTCCAGAACCTCATGGGTGTAGTGATCACCAGCCTTGTAAGGATGTCTCCAGATAAGCTCTGGAAATTCATACTGAGACTGTTTACCAGAGCCCAGTAATCGACCTCTCCCAGGTCACATAAGTGAACTTCTTGGACGTCACTGTGGCTGTCCCACATTTAATTTGAAGTGAAATGGAGAGCAGTTGGCTTTAACATGTGATTTGGCAGCTGGGGGCAGTAATACTTTAATGAATTGCAATGGCATGAATCACTAAAAGTATTCTAATTTATAGCCTGAATGTATTCCTGGTCAGTTTTTCCCCTCTTTTCTTGTGCCAACACTGTCACAACGTTTACCTCTGCTCTCTTCCCTCTCCCAGCTGGATTTAAAGTGCAGTTTGCTGTCTGTAACCTGCAGACTGAAGGGAGTCAGACCCACATTCCAGGGGCTGGGGCTGTGCCATACATCACTGCAGACATAATTACATCAAAGATAGGTCTGTGCCTCAAATGAGATCAGTTTCACTGTCAGGAGATACAGAGGAGCTCCATGCGAGTAAACAAGCACACAGCTTTGGACTTGAGGTACAGTTCATTATAAGCATTTGAGTATTATTCAGTAAAACTAATTAACCTCCTGCAGGTTTAGTAATTACTATTGGAGTGTCTACTTCTGCTCCAGCAGTTGGCTGTGTCATTTCCTACTGGAAGTGTGATATATGAAGAGGGCAGAAGGAAAGTGGCATTTGCTGGTTTCACTGGGGGCAGCCCCAGAACGCTGGGGCTGTGTCAGTGCTGGGGAGCTGGCCCAGACAGCCCAGGCAGCTCCTGCAGGGACAAGGCAGCTCTGTGCTTCAGGGGCCACTGTTTGGACACCGAGATACTCCGTGTTAGTTGGGCAGAAGCCGTGGCTGTCCCGTTCCCTGCCGGAGCGGGGAATGCACGGCAGATGAGACGGAGCCTGTGATAGCACAAGGAAATGGCAAAGCTGTGAAACTTGATTTCTATTGTCTCCAGTCTCCACCCCCACCTCGCTGCTGGCAAATGAGTGTCCAGCACGGCCGGTTCTGGACATTTTTTTCACAAACCTTGTGAGTTTTGAAGTCTGCATAAAACTACTGATTTGAATGTTTTTGTTTTTCAAGCTACTTCAAGTCCTTCAGATTGCAACATGAATCCAGAAGCTACAAAGAGCAGGGAGACAAATAACCACAACTCTTCATGCACTGCTATTAAAATGTCAGAATTTGTGAGCAATTCGTGAGTTAGGAGAGGGGAAGGAGCCAAGCTGTGGTTGCACTGTCTTGTGTTTGTCAGTGAGGGCTGTTTTGGCTTATGATTGCCCAAGGTTTGCACATGTGACTAGAAAACCACCTTAGGACAGACAAGAGGCTGTTTTCTGCCTTTGAGATGTAGAGTTAAGAATTTATATTAGGAAGTTTATTAGGACAACTTTTTTCTAGTTCAGTGGTCAGAAAACAAAAAAAAACCCACCTAATTTTTGCTACGAACATTACAGGGAGCAAATCAGCAACCAGTTCCTGAGGGCTGCTGGTTTTTAGGATGATACCCAGTAGGAAGAATTAGTCAGCTTCAGCAGCTGCTCTAATTATTTTTTCCAGCAGGTAAAGATACAGAAATGCAGCTCCTCAAGAGGAAAGGGAGACCCCTCCCCTTTCATCCACCTTCTCTGTCCCTCTAGACCAGTCAGTGCTACCAAAGGTGGTAACTGCTCTTCACAAAAACCTTTTGAAATAAAAGACTCTGTCTGGAGGGTATTTCTTCATGCCCTCTGCGGAGCAGAGTGGGAGAGCTAGAATGGAAATGTGAGAAGTGCTGACCCTGCATAATGACAGGAATGTAAAGAAGGAAAGCGAGCAATTAAAAAGTAGTTGAAAATGGAAGGCTTGTGGGAAAATTAGAGTGACAAAATGTGGAGATTGGCTGAAATTAGAGATGAGTTCAAGGCATGGGGCAAATTGCAGAAGAAACAGGATTTCTGGCAGTCTTTCTGCAGGAAGGATGCAATGGAGACCTGTTGGAGGGCTGTACCCCACAGGCTGTGTGTGCCTGCCCTGCTCAGCCTGCACCAGGACTGTCTGCAGGCCCTGCCACACCCTGGCATCAGTTTACTGAAATTCAGGAACTCGTGGTTTTTTCTCAGCCTAAAATGACAGAAATATTATCTTTAATACTGTATAAGGCAAAAGGAGACATTATAGAGAGGGAGGGAAGGCTGGAAGGAGTCCCTGCTCTCCGCTTGCAAAGCTCTGTTTTGCACTGTATTTTCTGTCTTGATTTAATAGTGAGTTGGCTCTTTCCAGCAGCTAGGCAGGGGAGGAGGGACGGGATATGTTCCCAGTCTTCGGCCAAGAGTGTCCCAGGGCGTCCCGGGTGTGACCTCTTCAATGTTTGTTTTTCTTTCCCTACAACTGACCCAGATGCTGGGACTCGAGACTTGGACATGCCTGGCCTGTTGAACATTTGCCCCTTCTGGTACAGCATGTGACAGTGTCAGGAACCAGGCTGGGAACAGTACCTGGAAGTGTTTTTCTCTGCAGCAGACTGTTGTGTCCGCTTGCGTTCCAGGAAAGCAAAGCCGTGAGAAGAATGCTGGGAGCGCACTGCCATCCAGT